GGCCTCCCCCCCCCCCCCCCCGGGCCTCTCCACCACCACCACTCCCTCCCGAAGTGCGGGCAGGCAGGCCGGCGCCCGGAACGCGAGAGGAGCCTCCGCCTCCTACCTGGTCCGACATGGCGCCCTGCTCGCAGGCTCAGCTGAGGGAGGGAGGGGGCCCTCTTCGCCCTCGCTTCGCCGCCGCCGCCCCGGTGAAGCGCCAAGGAACCCCTTTCCCCGAGCTGGTCCGCTCGCTCGCTCGCTCGCCGCCAACCCGGAGCAGGAGCCGGAGACACACAGCGCACGGAGGCCGGGCGCGGGCGGGATTTCCTCTGCGCCTGAGCTCACTTCCCGCTCTCCAGACGCAACCCACCCGCAAGCGGCAGCAAGGAGGGAGGGAGGGAAGGAAGGAAAAAGGGAGAGGGCTTCCCGCCGCTTCCTTCGCCTCCCCCCGATTTGGCTTCTCCTCCCTGCCTGCTCTGGCCTCGGACGTCCCTAGGCGGCTGGCGGCACCCCTGCTCGGGTCGCCGCGCCACGGCTTCACTGGCCCTGCAGCTATGCCTCTGCCTCTCTCTCTCTCTCTCTCTCTCCACACAAATGCTGTGTAAACAAAACGGATGCTCTGGTCTGGAGGACGACGGTATCAGTCCTCACGGGACTTAAATGTCGGTGGAAAGAGATTTAAAAGTGAAGTTCGCGAGGTGGTCGAAAGGGTGTCGCGTGTACAGTACTTGTTCGCGCTGTCATTTTCTGAAGAAGCGGGAAACCGCCTGGCATTGGGCAAATCGCATGTCTTATCCAAAAAGAGTCCGTTTTGGGAAGAATGACTATGAAGGCACGCTGCAGCCATCCGTAACTGACACACAGAGACCCAGAATATCATCCTGTTCTGCTATGGATGGCTTCAGCGTGGCTCCACACGCATGCATGGTAAAAGTAACTTTCCAAGCTCTGGTTAATACAGTACAGTATGTGAAGGGCCGTAAGACTCTTGGTTTTCCTGTAAGGGAAGGGTAGGCACTCACAGCCAGGGCCAGCCAGGCCATTATCGGAGTGAGGTGGTCTCCTCAGGTGGTGAAAATGCTTGGGGTAACAGCTGAGCATCACCACTTGGGTTTCCCACTGTCTGTGCCTTCCTAGTGCCATGCGGGAAGACATAAGGGCGAGGGAGAGATTTCAGAGAAAGAGCTGTGGTTCAGCATGTGTAACAAAAACAAAAATGGAAGCAACACCTTAAAGATGAACAGATTTCAGGATGAAATGGAGCTATACGGAACTACTGTATACAGAAAGGCGGGACTTGGTCTGGGTGATGGGCTTCCCACTAATATCTCACCTGACCAATTTGCAGCATTTTTTAAATCTAAATTGGAGGCCATCCACCAGGATCTCTCTCCTTTGCTAAATACAGTGGATCGAGCAGAGATGTCCAGTGCTCCGCCTTGCCCGGTGAGACTTGAATTCTTTCAGCCTGTGACAAAAGATATGGTGGACAAAGCGCTTGATCGCTGTGGGGCCACCACCTCCTCCCTTGGTCCTTGCCCGGCCTGGCTAATCAAAGCAGCCAGGCCCATAACAACTGAATGGGCCACTGCGATAATTAATGGGCCTCTCCTTGAGGGCAAGGTTCCTCCTGCCCTCAAGGAGACACTCATTAGGCCCATTAGGAAGAACCCAAACTTGGGGGCAGACAACATTGGCAACTATAGGCCCGTCCCCAATGTTTCTTTCCCTCAGCAAAGTGGTGGAGAGGGTGGTGGCCGATCAGCTGCAGGCTCTTTTGGATGAAACCAATGCTCTGGACCCATTTCAGTCGGGCTTCAGGCTGCACCATGGTATGGAAATGGCACTGGTCACACTGTTGGATGACTTGTTGAGGGAAGCTGACGGGCAATATATCCTTGTTGGTCTTCCTCGACATTTCAGCGGCCTTTGATACCATTGACCACAGTATCCTCCTGGGGAGGGTCTCGGAGTTGGGAATCAGTTGTCTGGTGCTTGCCTGGCTCCTATCCTTCTTGGAGGACTGTCCTCAGCTAATTCAGCTTGGAGAGAGTGTTTCGGCCCCATGGAGTCTCAACTGTGGGGTTGCACAGGGTTCGAGCATCTCTCTAATGCTGTTTAACATCTATATGAGGCCGCAGGGTGAGGGTCATCGGGGTGTGGGGCTTCGTGCCATCAGTACGCTGATGACATCCAGCTCTACACCTCTTTTTCACCTTCTTCAGTGGATCCCGTTCTGTCCCTTGAGCGCTGCCTGGAGGGTGTACTGCAGTGGATGCAGGAGAATGGGCTGAGGCTGAACCCGGACAAGATGGAGATCCTGAGGGTGAGTGGCCCCTCCATCTGCGGTTCAGGAAACTCCCTCTCTTTCAGGGGGGGGTGACTCACCGCAAAGAGTGAGGTTCGCAGTTTGGGAATACATCTGGAGTTGGCGCTCACCATGTGGCGGGTCAGTGGTCCGCTCTGCCTATTTCCATCTGTGGCAGATTGCCCAGCTGTGTCCCTATGACTAAACAACAACAAAAAGTACTTGAATACCTTTAACAATTTTAGCTACAGTGGACCCTCAACTTACAGATGGCTCGACTTACAGACTTTTCGAGTTACAGACTTCTCTGGCCGCAAAATTTAGGTTCGACTTGCAGCTGGAGAATCGACCTACAGACCAGAAAAAAAGCCAAAATGGAACAAAAATGGCCAGTTACAGCATTAATGGGTTTTCAATGCATTGTAGGTCAATGGAGACTCGGCCTACAGACTTTTCAACCTGCAGCCACCATTGCAATACGGATTAATTCCGTAAGTAGAGGGTCCACTGTAATTTTTGTTAGGGCTGTAACCTGGAGTGAAGGCATAGAAAGCATCAAAGTCACAGTCAGGAGAAGGAGATGGGGAGATGATAATAGAAGTAATAACAAGAGGGAGGGAAGCTTTTTTTATTATTTTAAATTCCCCGGCTGTAGCAGGAAGCTGACAGTAATGCATAGGAGTCACCAGAAACAAATTCTTCTCACTTGATTTAATGACTTCTTGCTGCACTTATGTATTGCACTTGAACCCTGTCCTTTAGAAGTACTTCAATAAATATGTAATTCTTATTAATCTTTTTCATTCCAAATGAACAAGGGAAGGGTGAAAGAATGAGAGATGTTAATCAGAGACAAAACTTTATTGAACAAATAATTATGTTAATGCTTTAGGGCAGCATTCTTCAGTCTGGCACTTTCCAGATGTGTTGAACCACAAATGTTACCTTCTGAAGCCAGCACTGTAAATAAATAATAGGATTTGTAGTTCAAGGCATCTGGACAGTGCCACTGGGAGGAACAGGGCTGGTTTCAGTAACTTGTGCCATTTTTTCCTAAGGGTTCCTGCTTTCATGTTTTATATGTCTGATTCTGAATTCAAGATTTACTGTAAATCTGAATGTTAATTTTGAGTGTAACTGCATTATAAATAAACTTGCTATTTACAACCTCTCAAAAAAGAGAAGTTAACATCTTAGCATTTTCTCAAACATAAAAAACATATGAAAGAGGTACTTAGCCTCTTAAGATTACATCACCAATGTAGCTATCAGTGCCAAAGTCATAAAATTTAAAACATCTGTTTCACTCTGGAAATTGTGGCCAAACTGCAAAGAAAGGCTTGCCTGTGTGTGTGTTCCCCTGTGTCGGCATGCTTGGCTCTGCTGGACTACAGCCAGGAACCAGAGAAGGCCCATCCATCTTTCACTTGTAAATCAGGATTAATTCCACTGAAGTCCAAAGGTGAACAGAAAGTGTTCTGTTTGCATCACTATTGACAATTCAGGATCTGTCTGTATTTGCTTTTTTCCCTAACTGTGTTGAAAACAGTAGGTTCACACAGGCAATTTCACCAAAAATTTTATAGAGATACAGTGGTGCCTCGCAAGACGATGTTAATTCGTTCCACGAAAATCGCTGTTAAGTGAAAACATCATCTTGCGAAACACGTTTTCCCATTGAAATGCATTGAAAACCTGATAATCCGTTCCAATGGGAACGGATTGTCATCATAAAGCGAAAATTGCCATAGGAAACATTGTTAAGCGAAACACAGTTCCCAAGCGAAGACAGCCGTCTAACAAGACAGAGACCATTAAAAGACTCGTATAGCAAAGCAAGACCAAGCTGTCAAAAACATTGTAAAGCGAAAAACAGGGACCCTAAATTTAACCATCCTGCGAGGCAAGGTCCCTAACATCGTAAAGCGAAAATCGCCCATAGGAAACATCGTTAAAGCACAAGATCACTCCGAAAACCTCATTGTAAAGCAAATTCCTCGTCATGCGAAGCAATCGTCTTGCAAGGCACCACTGTATATAAAGGGGCATGCCTCCTCTGGAAGAATGGGAATTACAAACAGTACGTTGAAGAAGGCTTGGTGTCAGTTGCCAGTCAACCAACCAACATTCGTGATGAACTATGTACACTGTGAGCTTGTCTACATGTGCAACGGGAGCAGGCTAAATAGAGGTGCTAGGAGATCTGGTATGCCAGTTGGTGCAATCCTCATCTCCAAATGACATATGGACCTCAAGCAACTCTATTTTGTCCACACCACCCACCGTCAATTTGCTAATATCATGAAGTGGCTTAAGGAGAGAGCCACTTCACGATACCACAAATTAAACTTCAGCTCTGAGGAAGTGGGGGGGGGGATGTAAGAATGCATTAGAACAACAAATATGCACTGCTTTAAAACCAGCATTAATCATCATCATCATCACATGGAGAGGATTTCTATGACATTTCACATTTTCTCTGCAACTTACCTTTGAACACATAAGTAATTTCAAACTTGTTTATGGGTAGGGGGAGGATTTTTATGACATGGAATTTTTCCCCCTGTAACCTGTGCTTGAATTTATGGGTGGGTTTGAATATGTTTATGAGCAATCTAGTGAGAAAGGCCAGATTACTCATAAACATGTTTGAACTTGCTTATTGGTTCAAATGTAGGTTGCAGAAAAAATGTAAAATGTTGGGGGGGGGGGAATGACATGTCAATCTGAGAACTGCAGAGTTGGCTCAAGCTACAGGAAGCCAGATTTAGGCTGACTATCAGGAAAAAATTCTTAACTGTTAGAGCAGTACAACAATGGAACCAATTACCTCATGAGCTGGAGGCATTCAAGAGAAAATTGGATCACCATCTGTCAGATCTGCTTTGATTTGGAGTCCTACCTTGAGCGGGGAGAGGGGCTGGACTCAATGGTCTTATACCAATGGTCTTATATTAATTTTTGCTCCGAAAACACATTAGGACTTATTTTCACGGGATGTTTTATTTTTTTCATGTGCAACCATCTACATTTATTCAAATACAGGCATAATGTATCTGGTTGCTGCACAATGGTGGAGGGCAGGGTTTCACTTAACAGGGGCTTATTTGGGGGGTAGGGCTTATATTACGACCATCCTGAAAAATCCTGCTAGGGCTTATTTTCAGGTTAAGTCTTATTTTCCGGGAAACAGGGTAAGTATACACACCTAATACGCGTTCCTAACTTGTAAGACAC